TAATAATAATAATAATAATAATAATAATAATAATAATAATAATAATAATTTTATTTAAAAAGCGCCTTTCAGGACACCCAAGGACACTTTACAGTAAGAAACATATCAGAAAGATTGTGTTAAAACAAACAAGCACAGTGCAAAGATCAACAGGAATAAATTACATAAAGAATATAAAATGCATAAAGAATATAAAATGCATAAAGAATATAAAATACATAAAGAATATAAAATACATACAGAATATAAAATACATACAGAATATAAAATACATACAGAATATAAAATGCATAAAGAATATAAAATACATAAAGAATATAAAATACATACAGCAAAGTTGAGGATAAGCGAGTCTAAAGAGAAGTGTTTTCAGAGCAGTCTTGAATATAGAAAGAGAGGTGGTGTTTCTTAAGTCAGGGGGTAGAGAGTTCCAGAGATGAGGGGCAGAGCAGGTGAAGGCCCTGCTCCTCATGGTGGAGAGGCGGGCAGAGGGTACATGGAGGTGTAGTGAAGAGGAGGATCTGAGAGAGCGAGAGGGGATGGAGATGTGTAGGAGGTCAGATAGGTACGGAGGGGTAAGGTTGTGGATAGCTTTGAAAGTGAGAAGAAGAATTTTGAAGACGATGCGTGATTTAACCAGGAGCCAGTGGAGCTGCTGCAGGACAGGAGTGATGTGGTTATAGGAGGAGGTTTGAGTGATGACACGGGCAGCTGAGTTCTGGACCAGTTGCAGCTTCTGGAGAGATTTGTTGGGGAGGCCATAAAGAAGGGAGTTACAGTAGTCAATCCGAGAAGTCACAAGACTGTGAACAAGGATAGCTGTGGAGCGGGGTGTGAGAGAAGGGCGGAGACAGTTAATATTTCAGAGATGGAAATAGGCAGACCGAGTGACATTGTTGATGTGTGAAGTGAAGGAGAGAGTGGTGTCGAGGATGACACCAAGACTCTTGACCTGAGGCGAGGGGGATAGCAGAGAGTTGTTAAGGGGAATGAGAAGATTTTCTGATTTTGAAAGAGAGTTTTTGGTACCGACAAGAATGATTTCTGTTTTGTTACTGTTTAGTTGTAGGAAGTTGTTAGAAAACCAGTGATTTAGCTCATTGAGACAGTCGGTGAAGATGGAGGGTGGGTGGGTGGAGTTTGGTTTTGTTGATAGGTAGAGCTGTGTGTCATCAGCATAACAGTGAAAATGGACACCAAATTTACGGAAGATGTGACCTAGAGGAAGGAGGTAAATGATGAAGCGGAGGGGTCCGAGGACAGAGCCTTGGGGGACACCCGTGGAGACGGGGGAAGACTGGGAGCGAAAGGATTTAAACTGAATGAATTGAGTGCGGTCAGAGGGATATGATTTGAACCAGTCTAACGGAGTACCTGGGATGCCAATGGAGGCTAGGATCACAACTATGAACACAAATTCAACCAATGCCCAATATTTTTCACTCAGACTTGTAATTTTGACCACAACTTTTATAAAGATGTGACCAATCACCTTAACTCCTACCTGGTTTGACTTATCGAAAAAGCCTCAGCCTTAAGATAAATATGTGTCTGTTGCCAAAACATCCCCTTCACCATCAAATATTACCTCTAAAAGCTGTGCATGTCAGTTTCTTGAAGTATTACATAAAGGTGGTGGAAAACTGTGTTAGACTGTGTTAAACATTTTATTGGAGCACAGACACTGTCTGAAACACTTTTGTCCAGCAGAACATGTTCGGAGATGGCCTTAAACCTGAGGAGAAACCCCAACAACCCCTGACAGGCTGCTGCATCTAGACATAATCTTGGGGCATCATATGTCCAAACCATCTCAGTCTGGCCTCTCTAACTTTATTTCCCAGTTGTTCAACCTGTGCTGTACCTTTTTATGACCTCATTCCTAATCTTATCCATCTTTGTCACTCCTAAGGAGAACCTCAACATCTTAATTTCTGCTACTTCCAGTTCTGCCTCCTCTCTTTGTGTCAATGTCTCTGCCTCCAAACCATACAACATCTCACCACTCTCTTGTAAACTTTTCCTTTGACCTTTACTGACACCCTTTTGTCACAAATCACTCCTGAAACTTTTCTCCATTGTAGTGGACTAGGCCTCCGACCAAAACCTGCCTCTGAAGACCTTCATGGGACAGGAACTGTTATTTCATTGATTTGAATCCAGAAATACAAATTAGTTCATCCAGAGACTGTCTAATTGTATCCTGAAGTAATCAATTGAAAGAACACTCTTCTTTTATATTATCATTACTATTTTACAATATCTTGATAAATCAAAAGTGTGTTTAGTTCATACCATTTCTAAATGTTGAAGTGAACCACTCATTTTAAATCAACTGTGAAACAGTATTAATAATTTTTTACCTCATTTAAATTAGAAATCAAGTTAAATGTCTATTTTACAAAGTAATTATGCATTTTTGATCTTCTGTCTGAAATGAGAAGTAGTGATGTCGGTCGAAAGTCAGAAGGGAAGTTATTGGAACGAAGTGTCGTGTTTTTAAAACTCTCAGACAGTAAATAAGAAAACAGGGACCTGTAAGTCTGTCATTTCTCCAAAATATTTTCTCGTCTGTAACTAACTGTTCCTAAAAACATTCCTCCTGTTTTCTTGACTTGTAATGACCCTCTGACATCACTAGAACCACCCCTGTTGGTTGCTTCAACCAATCAGGACGTACTAAAGTGACCGGAAGCAGAACTCTTTAAAAGTCGACACTTCCTGGAACTATTCCTAGTTCTGAAGCTCTAGCAGTTCTGTAGAGTTCTGGAGTTAGTGCGGCAGTTCTGCAGTTCTCAGTCTTCATGGAGTTTTACACTTCTGAGTGGAAACTCTGAAAGGACTCACAGATGCTTGCTGTGAGTCCACCTGGTCATAAATGCCCTACAACTTTGAATGGAGCTGAGCCTGTTTGTTGAACAGATAAGTGACACGACTTCGGACGATTCTCAGCCATCCTTACCGGAGACACTGAAAGGTCACCTGGTCCGAACAGACACTCCCTTTATACATCTTCCTTCAAACCTCTCCATTTAAACTTCTCATATTTCACATCTTTAAAACTCTTCTACTTCTCCAGTAATTAATCTAGATGTCTTCAGAAATGTCTGTTGTTTTTATTAAGTAAAACGTGCCAAGTTTTATTAATCAGAACCAGTTCAGCTAATCAAGTGTACAATGTTTTGATGTTAAATTTTGATTCTGTTCAATAAATGACCACATTTATTCTGATGGGTCAAAGAAAATTAACGTCTCATGTCACTGATTAAACCATCTACGCACAGTTACTTCTGTCGCATGGCTGTAATTAGCTCGAAAAAGAGAGAACCCGTTATTTAAATATAATTGTAGTGAGGGTACAGCCCAGCTGACCTTGAGACACTACACCATCCACTCCATCCTGCCTGGACTCTCTTTTTCACTTCTTTACCACATTCCTCATTTTCCTGGACAGTGGACCCCAAGTCCTTGATATCCTGCACCTTTGTGACCTCTGCTCCTTGTAGCCTCACTGTTCCACCTCCTCCTTCTCATTCACACAAATGTACTCTGTCTTACTACGGCTGACTTTCATTCCTCTTCTTTCAAGTGCATACCTCCACCTCTCCAAGTTCTCTTCCACCTGTTCCCTGTTCTCACCACAGATCACAATGTCATCTGCAAACATCATTGCACCTGAGGATTCCTGCCTGACCTCATCTGTTAGTGGGTCAGTCACCAAAGCAAACAAGAAGGGGCTAAGAGCCGATCCTTGATGCACTCCCACCTCCACCTTGAAGCTATCTGTCACTCCTACAGCACATCTCACCACTGTCCTGCTGTCCTCATACATGTCCTGCTGTCCTCATACATGTCCTGTACCAGTCTAACATACTTCTCTGCAACTCCAGATTTCCTCATGCAACACCACACCTTCTCCCTCGGCATCCTGTCAGATGCTTTTTCTAAATCCACAAAGACACAATGGAGTTCTTTCTGACCTTCTCTGTATTTCTCCATCAGCATTCTCAAAGCAAAGATAGCATCTGTCTCTCTATGGCACCTGAGTGCATCACTAGCAGAGGAGCTAAACTGCTTCTTTGCACGCTTTGATGCACCACAGCAGCACCCATCTGATCTTGCCCTGCCCCCACACCCACACGGTTACTGCACCACTCCACTCACTGTACGGGAGCATGATGTTAGACGTTCGCTCCAATCAGTGAACCCCAGGAAAGCTACTGGCCCAGATGGAGTACCTGGCAGGGTGCTCAAAGCATGTGCCCTCCAGCTCGCCCCCACCTTCACCAGAATTTTCAATCTCTCCCTGGCCCAGGCAGTCATCCCTCCCTGCTTAAAATCTGCAACCATCATCCCAGTGCCGAAAACGCCTACCATCACCAGCCTGAATGATTACCGACCGGTGGCTCTCACCCCGGTAATCATGAAGTGCTTCGAGAGACTGGTTCTCCAGCACATCAAGGACTATCTCCCTCCGAACTTTGACCCCTAACAGTTTGCATATCGCACCAACAGGTCCACAGAGGATGCTACTGCAGTAGCTCTCCACACCACGCTGAGCCACCTGGAACAAAAGCACAGCTACGTTCGAATGCTCTTTGTGGATTACAGCTCGGCCTTTAACACAATCATTCCGGACATTCTTATAAATACATTGGACAATCTCGGCCTCCCCCCACTCACATGTACCTGGATAAAAGACTTCCTAACCAATCGGCCCCAATCTGTAAGACTTGGTCCCCACCTCTCCTCCACTCGTACGCTGAGCACTGGCTCCCCACAGGGCTGTGTGCTGAGCCCCCTGCTGTACTGTCTCTACACCCATGACTGCAGCCCGGCCCACAACAACAACCTCATCGTCAAGTTCGCTGATGACACCACAATGGCCGGACTAATCTCTAACGGAGATGAGACATTTTACAGACAGGAGGTCCTGGAGCTAGCAACCTGGTGCTCAGAGAAAAATCTGACTCTGAATATCAAAAAAACCAAGGAGGTAATTATTGATTTCAGGAAGCACAGCACCAACCTAGCCCCCCTTCACATCAATGGCGAGTGCGTGGAGAGGGTTCATACTTTTAGATTTCTTGGTGTCCATATCTCTGCTGACCTTAACTGGAAAGAGAACACCACAGCGGTCATCAAGAAGGCTCAGAAGGGACTACACTTCTTAAGAGTCCTTAAGAAGCACAACCTGAACACAAAACTGCTGCTGACCTTCTACCACTCGTCCATCGAGAGCCTGCTGACATACTGTATCTCAGTATGGTACGGCAGCTGCACCCTGGCTGACAGGGAGAGGCTTCAGAGAGTAGTCAAGACAGCACAAAAGATAACTGGCTGCCCTCTCCCCTCCCTGATGGATGTTTACACATCACGCTGCCTCAACAGAGCAGAAAACATAATCAAGGACTGTTCACACCCGGGTTTTGAACTGTTTGACTTGTTACCTTCAGGGAAACGCTACAGGTGCATCAGAACAAGAACAAACAGATTCAAGAACAGTTTTTTTCCCGAAAGCCATCACCACCCTGAACTCACACATGCACTGATTTAATCATCCTCCCAAACCCCTGGACTTCTATTGTGCCATACTACTGACATTTCATACTCTCAGTCACCTTAACTACCTCACTAATAACCATGATGTGCAATATAATTGTGAAATACTTGTATTTTTTTACTTTCATTATTATATCTATATTGCGTTACATTTTTTTTATATTTTAGTGTGTGTTTAGTGTTTAGTGTTTTCTTAAGGCGTGTTTTTGCACTGGAAAAAGGAAGTGGCTCTTAATTTCATTGTACTGCGTATAATGACAATAAAGGCATTCTGATTCTGATCTGTGGTGCTCTTTCTTCGCATGAAACCATACTGCTGCTCACAAATAGTCACCTCTCGTCTAAGTCTATCTTCCACAACTCTCTCCCAGATCTTCATTGTGTGGCTCATCAACTTAATTCCCCTGTAGTTGTTACAACTCTGTCCATCACCCTTGTTGTTAAAAATGGGCTCCAGCACACTTCTCCACCATTCTTCAGGCATTTACTCACCCTTAAATATGCCACTTAATATTTATGTCAGAAACCTCAATGACATCTCTCCAAGACATTTCCAAACCTCCACTGGTCTTCAGGTCCTACTGCCTTTCCCGCCTTCAGACTTTTCAGAGCTTTCCAAATTTCACCCTCACTAATCTTTCCCACTTCCTGGTCCACAGTTTCTATGACCTCTACTCTTCTTTCTCTTTCATTCTCGTCATTCCTTAGAGCCTCAAAATACTCTTTTCATCTTCCCGTCACAGTCTCAAGTTTAAGTCAAATTAATTGTCAATTGCATCACATTTGGTACATGAGGTAGACTAAATTATGTACTCAGGGTCCCAGTTACACCCAGAAATTGTAAGGATGGTACTTTTCTGTGGCCCGGTTTGTGTCTGTTTCCCTCGTGCTCCCTCATTAGTTTCCATTGTTACCACCCGTGTCTCGTCCCAGCTGTCTGCAATTATGTCTCGTCTTGCCTATGCATATAAGCCGCCTGTTCTGTCTTGTTCTTCGTCGGGTCGTCTTCGTTGAGTCTCCTGAGTCTTTCCCTGACTCTTCCTGGTTCCTCGAGTTCCCCGTGTCTCTCGTGTCTCCTGAGTTCCCCGTGCCTCCTTCCTATGTTCATGTAAGTTTTGCTGCCCCGTCAGCTTGTTATTTTGTACTTTTATTTATCATTAAAATCTTTTTTTTGTATTTCTGCCGAGTTGAGTCCCTGTTCTGCACTCTGGGTTCGCTCCTGACACAAATCCTGACAGAAATAGCCCAAATATAAAGTATAAAAAGAAGCAGTATATAAAGATCTAAGATATACACTAAGATATATGCGAAACAAACACTAAACAATACGCTAAAAGATCTAAGATTAAGATATACGCTAAACACAATAATGTAAAACAATATGGTATATCAACAGCAGCCCGAACATCTACATCTACATATCCTCACTTGTTAGAACATTACCATTCTTATCTTTAACAAGTCCATCATGCTGCACATCCTTTCCAGTCTGATCCCTCTGTCTTGCCAATTGACATAAGTCCTTCTCGCCCTCTTTAGCATCCAGCCTCCCATACAACTCATCGTACACCCACTGCTTTGTCTTTGCTGCCTCTCTCTTTGCTCTACATTGCATATCTTTATATTCCTGTCTCCTCTCTTCAGTCCTCTCTCTGTCATATTTCTTCTTGGCTAACCTCTTTCTTTGAACAGCTTCCTGCACTTCACTATTCCACCACCAGGTTTCCTGATCATCCATTCTCTGTCCAGATGACACACCAAGTACCTTCCTACCTGTCTCTCTAATTACTGTTGCTGTAGTAGTCCAGTCATCTGGAAGCTCTTTCTTACCACCCAGAGCCTTTAACAGCTCCCCTCTGAATTTCTCACAACATTCTTCCTTCTTCATCTTCCACCATTTTGTCTTCTTCTCTGATTTTACTCTTTTTCTCTTCTTCACAACAACAGTCATTCTACATACAACCACCCATTGTTGTCTGGCCACGCTCTCACCTGCCACAACCTTTCTTTTTTTTTCTTTTTCTTCTTCTTTCGGCTGCTCTCTGCATTAGGGGTTGCCACAGCAAACTAAGTCACATGAAGACTTGGCAGTAGGGTAGCACCTGTCACAACCTTACAGTCCCCAAACTCCCTTAGATTTCCTCTTCTACACAGAATGTAGTCAAGCTGCGTACTCCTTCCTTCACTCTTATAGGTCACCCTATGTTCCTCCCTCTTTTGGAAATATGTGTTGACTACAGCAATTTCCATTCTCTTTGCAAACTCCACCACTATCTGTCCTTCCAGGTTTCTTCCTTGACACCAAACCTGCCCATCACTTCCTCATCCCCTCTGTGTCCTTCACCAACATGTCTATTCAGGTCTGCTCTGAGCACCACTCTCTATTCCCTGGGAATACTCTCTATCACTTCATCCAGATCCTTCAAAATGTCTCTCTTTTCTCTACATCCAACCTGTGGAGCATAACCACTGACAACATTTGGCATCAGACCTTCTACTTCTACCTTCAGACACATCATCCTATCTGACACTCTCGTCACCTCTACTACATTCTTTGATAACTCCTCCTTCAGGACCACCCCTACTCCATTTCTCTTTCTATCCACACCATGGTAAAACAGTTTGAACCCTGCTCCAATGCTGTGAGCCTTGCTGCGCTTCTACTGGTCCCTTGGACACAAACATCTACCTTCCTTCTCTGCATCATGTCAGCCAGCTCTCTACCTTTGCCTGTCATTGTCCCCACATTTAGTGCTACAACCCTCAGTCCTACATTCTTGACTTTCCTCTTCTCCCTCTGTCTCATGATATGTTTCCCTCCTTGTGGTCTTTGACTAACTGTAGCACAATTTCCGCCGGTACCCTGTTTGTCAACAGCCCTGGTGACGGTTGTCGTTAACCCGGGCCTTGACCAATCCAGTATGGCATCACTTAGATGAACTCACATATTAGTTTAGACAAAAGCTGTTTACATCAAATGCCCTTCCTGACACAACCCTCATCATTTACCCGGGCTTGGGGTCAGCACAAGAGATACACTGACTTGTGCCCCCTAGTGTCTGGTTCTACCCTCTCGATTTTTCAGAAAACACTCATCTCCACAACTACAAACATTCACAATTCAAATCCTTCAGCTACGGGAGACATAGGTGTACCGCTTCTCTGTTTGTTTGTAGCAAAACATCTTCTCAACCACAGGAAAGATTTGAATGAAACTCAGCAAGTATTTATCAGATGAAACAACATGATACAGTATGAGGCTAAAAATAAGTTTTACTATTTCTATATTTGTTGTCAGTGTGGTCCCATTTGGGTCCGTATAACAATAAAACGGTGGTCTAACTGGTCACTCAACAGATAGGTAATGCTCATTTTACTTCAACACATGCTGGTATGCAGAATGTTTAACACAAACCTTTGGACCAGTTTTCTCCATGAAACCTTCTTTCATAAAGTTTCGAGTCAGCTTGGGTACCAGCTGGAGAAAAAAGTACAGTGCTACATTAAAAGTAGACAATAAATATAAACAAGTACATTAAAGAGCATGGACAGTCTTACCAATATAACACCAGGACTTAGATTTATACATGAACTTGACTTCAAGATAACAGGGTTTTAGGAATGTACCCTTAGCACTGTTATGAAACTGTGTGGTTCAAAGACTAATTAGTTTAGTTAATAAAAACACGATGACGTATAGGAAAAAGCAACAGTACAAATAGATCCCATTTGTTTTACCTCTTCATCATTGGCCCCTGGAAAGGCCACCTGGAGGTAGTGAAACCTGGCTGCTCTGATGGAGTTGAACCAGTCCACCATCTCCTGTGAAAAACAAACCATCTCAGTGGTAACATGTTCTGTTGGACTGGAAGTATTACAGTGTAGCACAGACCTAATGGTGTACGACCAACAGTCCCAAATAGCTGTGCCTATATAGACATCTGTAAAGTGTCACTCACACAAGCTGTGGTCCCTCTCCCATCATAATACACGTTCTGTGATGCTGTGAAACCAAACCCATCCACTCTGAATGACTAGACCAGTGTTGTTAACCTCATGACAAGTGAAGTTAATATTGTCATGTTTAGATTGTCATGAAGCTCAGAGTAAGTACCAGCAGCCGTTAATCCTGTGTTCCCAGACACTGCTGATCCTCTCCAGTTTGCCCACTGTTCACTTACCCACCTACGACTGTCTCCTCACTCAGGACAAACATGTCCTCGTCACATTTGCAGAAGACACCAATCTCTTAGGCCTAACATCACATGAGATGGGTCAGATTACAGGACAGCAGTTAGTTCACCTTATGTATGAAACGAAGAGTGAGCTCATCCTCAACACAGACAAGCTGAAAGAATAGTAAGACTTGTAAAGTACCAGTAAAACAGAAAGAATAGTAAGACTT